TGTCATTTACGGTACACAGTGCTCACCACTATCTCTGGAAGTGAAAGCACCAAAAAATGAATTAAGTCATGCGTCATCCGTCCGCAAGGAACCAAGCACAAGATACCGAACACTCTCAGCAGGGTGCAGCTCACCCCTCATGCGACTCGCCGAATATCTCACGGCGCTTCGCGCTTGGTGATGTGAGAGCCTGGTCCGGTGAGAAGCCGGCGTGCTCCGTCCCGGCTTTGTAGGGATGCGAGGTCAATGATCTAANCCTTAGCAGGATGCAGCTCACCCTTCATGCGACTCGCCGAATATCTCACGGCGCTTCGCGCTTGGTGATGTGAGAGCCTGGTCCGGTGAGAACCCGGCGTGCTCCGTCCCGGCTTTGTAGGGATGCGAGGTCAATGATCTAACGACTAGGGCATGCAAGACTATGAGTACCCCCCCCCCCCCTCCGCCTCCGCGCTAGCTACTCCGCGCCCTCCGCGGGCTGCTTTGCCCAATGATGCATGAATCAAAATGTATTTTGCCAAAAAAAAGAAAATGGGAAGAAATAAGAGAATCAGGAGGATGCGACAGTCCAAAGGAATAAGAAATGCCTTTTGGGCAACTGGACGACTTCGGTTGGTACTTGTACCCAAAGTAAGGGATTGAGCCTCGACCCGATTTTGATGTTTGTTGTGTCCTTGGACGACTTCGGTTGGTACTTGTACCCAAAGTAAGGGATTGAGCCTCGACCCGATTTTGATGTTTGTTGTGTCCTGCCCCGTTCTGTACATCTGTCTAAGTATCTGCCGTGTAGACCGACAAAGGCAAGGAAATCGAGCTGGGATTGATATCCCAAACGACGGGCTTATCCCATGTGCTCACGCGTAAAAGCTGAGCGAAGAGTTAGTGGTGCTAATTACAGGTCGTAGTAATTGTATGAACCTATCCCGGTACATCCATGCTGTGTACGGCGGAAAGTGTTTGTGCTTGGGTTCTCCACGATCGATGACCAGGCGGACGTGACCACCCTCCATGCACGTTCAATATTGATTCACTTGAGACTCTGGTAGAGCCCTTCGGCAATCCGATAGACAACAAGTGTCAGTATTTTCTGATTGCTCGTCTCAAGGCCGTGAAAGGAAACACGGCAGATCACGGGGATGGTATTGCGGCAGGAGCTTTGTGGCTCACATCCACGCCATCGCTAGTTTGCACGCACGCCGGTTCCTCTGTCTCGTTGACTCTGTCCATCTAGTCCTGTGTACAACAGTGTTTTTGGAGCCCTGATGTTTCTTATTCTTGTCCTCGTGTACTTTCCCGGGAGTTGTCTATTCCTCTGCATGTATAAGATCGCGTTGCCCGTTGTGATTAAGTAATGTCTCGAGCTGGAAGATTTGTACCCGGCATTTGGAGATGCTCGGGAACAGGCGTTGACATTGATGTCTTTGTTGTAATCGAGGTGTTTTTCTGGGAACGTTCGTTTCTGGTGTTCTTTCCTCGCGTTTTCCGGGGTTTTCTGGACCGTTTTTCGGCATCGGTACTCGATTTTTGACACGGGACCGACCCGCTCACAACATTAAACCTCGTGCGAAGTTGGGCCTCAGGTTTTGAAAGAATGAGAGAAGCCCGGAAGAAATTGCGCTCATCTGATGGCCAACAAGAAGAACTGGAGAAAAAATGAAATCGCACGCTACCAACCTCCCAATGACAACAAACGTGAAAGGATGTCGTGTTAGCCATGGAAAGAAGAAGCTACCTCTGACCCTTGGCACAGCTCGACAGCGATCATGACCTGGGTCCAATGAGGACGACGTCACTGCGATGCGGCATCCGGATTTTCGTCTGCAGGATTCCCCTCCAGCGAAAGTAGGCGGCGCGTTGATTAACGGTATTGGCCTGCGCTTGATGTAGGTGTGGTTTGGGGTGTTCCTGGGGCAGGTCAGTCGGGCGACTCCCCCAAAAAACCAGCCACTTGTACGACTACCGCGTGGTATTGACTTGTTACCAAAGGACCATCGACTTGAAGGGCGCATCTATTCATCGTAGATGAGGCTGACGCAGCCGTGGGTGCATAGGTTTTGATGGAGCAGATCGACGGTTGCAACGAGTCGGCGGCACGCCTGTAGGGTAATAGCGGTAGGATGGATCCCCAGCGTTCGCAATAGCGACCAGGGATGAATGAGGAATACACAAGTTTGGGCCTACTTTGACGATTGAGTTTCGAACGAAATGGAATTTCTCTTTTCCACCCTCCTGGACGATGACTTAGTGCTTGCCGAGGTTCTTGTAGGATTCCAAAAGTACCGGTAGACATGCACACGCAACAGGAGATAATGCAATTTCCGAGTTCGAAGGAGTCGATGCACACGAGGCGGTTCGTGTGCGCAGGCATAAAATGGGAAGAACCTGCTGTGTTGAAGGTTGTGGTCCATGCCAGGATGACTGGTTTGCTGCCTTTTCCCGAGACTGTTTTGGTGAAGGTCATTGGCACAAGGGACACGGCTTCAGCGATGAGCGAGGGGGAACTATTTTCCATGCCCGGGAAACGCGAGGATTTCTTTCTTCTGACACAAGCGACCGCACCGTGTAGCGTGTACCATGTGGTTTTCCCGGCAACGCCCGGGCAAACGTTGACCGACAGCTCGCCGTTGGCTGTTCTTCCTCGCGTATTTTATGTTTCTCAAGTGACAAATGAATACATGGCTTATTGTGCGCTGGGTAAACTCGACGCTTGCTTTGCGGAGGATCTCGTAACCGCCGATGAACGGGAAATATATACTTCTGTTTGCTGCGTGTGCTCTCGATATCCTACACTCTTTCGCGTTGCATGTAGAAATACCGTCCTGTTGGGAATCGAAACGGTTGTCGCTCCCGACGTACTGTAACACGATTGTTTGAATGCGGTGCCTCCTTCATGGAGCGATCCAAATGGAAGCCCGAGAAGGAAGGTGTTGTGATCCACCTTAGCACTTCAGCCCTAACCCGGCCCTTTGCGCTCCTGTATTTTCTACCTCCTTTTCGCGCCATAGACGCAACGCGGTCTGGCAACCTTGGGCAGGGACCTCCGTTCTGGTCTAGGCGCCATTGGCACGGCGGTCATGGCGGAAGCCACGGGAATTCATGCGGACGTCCGCGAGGTCAAGCGTGACTTGGCGAGCGTGCGTGAGAGCGTTGAAGACTGCCGTGCCGAAAACATGGTGTTCTTCGCAAGTTTCACGGCTGGCTTGGAAGCCGCTCGACAGGGCATCGAA